TAGATACTCAGGAGGCTGAGGCAGGAAAATCACTTGAATCCAGGAGGTGGAGGTTGTAGTGAGCCGAGATCACGCCACTGCACTCCAACCTGGGCAACAGAGTGAAACTCCATCTCAAAATAAATAAATAAATAAAATAAAAATAATTGTTTGGGCCAGGCACAGTGGCTCACACCTATAATCCCATCACTTTGGGAGACTAAGGCAGGCAGATTGCTTGAGCCCAGGAGTCCAAGACCATCCTGGGCAACAAGGTAAAATTTTGTCCCTAAAAAAAATTTGCTTTACCTAGCTGGCACGGGCCAGGTGTGGTGGCTCACAGCCATTATCCCAGCACTCTGGGAGACCAAAGTGGGCAGATCACTTGAGGTCAGGAGTTCAAGACCAGCCTGGCCAACATAGTGAAACACTGCCTCTTCTAAAAATACAAAAATTAACTGGGCATGGTAGCACACGCCTATAATCCCAGCTACTTGGGAGGCTAAGGCAGGAGAGTTGCTTGAGCCTAGGAGGCAGAGGTTGCAGTGAGACAAGATTGCACCACTGGACTACAGCCTGGGTGACAGAGCGAGACTCCATCTTGAAAAAATTTAAAAAAATTAAAAAAAAAAATTAGCCGACGTGGTGGTGCACACTTTCAGTCCCAGCTACTCGGGAGGCTGAGGTGAGAGGATTGCTTGAGTCTAGGAGCTCAACGCTGCAGTGAGCCGTGACTGCATCACTGCAGTCCACTCTGGACGACAGAGCAATACCCTGTTTGACAAAAAATAAATAAATAAATAAGTTTTTGTAGAGGCAGGGTCTGGCCATGCTGCCCAGGCTGGTCTGGAACTCTTGGGCTCAAGTGGTCCTCCCACCTCAGCCTCCCAAAGTGCTGGGATTATACGCGTGAGCCACCAGCCCAGCTACAATTCTAATTTTTCTTTCTTTTTTTTTTTGAGATGAAGTCTCACTCTGTTGCCCCAGCTGGAGTGCAATGGTGCGATCCTAGCTCACTGCAACCTCCGCCTCCCGGGTTCAAGCGACTCTCCCACTTCAGTTTCCCAAGTTGCTGGGACTACTGGTGCACGCCACCAGGCCCGACTAATTTTTGTATTTTTACTAGAGACAGTGTTTCACCATGTTGTCCAGGCTGGTCTCAAACTCCTAACCTCAGGTGATCTGCCCACCTTGCCCTCCCAAAGTGCTGGGATTACAGGAATGAACCACCACGCCTGGCCTAGAATTCTAATTTTTAGACATTTAGACGTATGATATATCATCTCCATTTGCACTTTGCACCTGCCCCACAATGCAAGGGGCAGCCTGTGTGAAAGCACAAACGTTTCTCAGAACAGTCTTAGCCAGGCTGGCCTGGTTCCCACAGATGTTCACCTGGGAAGGGAGTCGGCAGACTGGCTTCTACCTCCACATCTCCCCTGGGAGCGTCCGGAGCGATTCCCCGGCCATGCCTCCCAGCCTCCCCTTGCCTGCAGCCACTCAGCTCAGCACCGGGCCCCAGCCTTGGTGCTCAGCTTCTCAACAACAGAGCAGAGAAGACCCCAAACTGACCAGTTTTTCAGTCTTCCCACCCTCTACTTCTGGAATCTCTTTTCTTTTTTCTTCTTCTTTTTTTTCTTTTGTATACATTTAGGGGGTACAAGTACAGATTCCTTACATGCATATATTTCGTCATAGTGAAGTCTGGGCGTGTAGCATATCCATCACCTGAATAAAGAACAATGTACCCAACAGGTAATTCTTCAGCCCTCATCCCCCTTCCCACTCTCTCACCTTCTAGAGTCTCCAATGTCTGTTTTTCCACTCTGTATGTCCATATGCACCCATTGTTTAGCTCCCTCTTATAAGAACATGCAAGGCCAGGCACAGTGGCTCAAGTCTGTAATCCTAGCACTTTGGAAGGCCGAGGCAGGCAGATCATGAGGTCAGGAGATAGAGACCAGACTGCCTAACATGTTGAAACTCCGTCTCTACTAAAAATTCAAAAAAAAAAAAATTAGCTGGGCATGGTGGTGGGCACCTGTAGTCCCAGCTACTCAGGAGGCTGGAGAATGGTGTGAACCCAGGAGGCGGAGGTTGCAGTGAGCTGAGATCGCGCCACTGCACTCCAGCCTGGGCAAGAGAGTGAGACTCCATCTCAAAAGAAAAAAAAAAAAAAAAAAAGATCATGCAGTATTTCACTTTCTGTTTCTGAGTTATTTCTGCTAGAACAATGGCCTCCAGGACAGGCATGGTGGCTCATGCCTGAAATCCTGTACTTTGGGAGGCCGAGGTAGGTGGATCGATCACCTGAAGTCAGGAGTTTAAGACCAGCCTGGCCAACATGGTGAAACCCTATCTCTACTAAAAATACAAAAATTAGCCGGGCGTGGTGGCAGGTGCCTGTAATCCCAGCCACTTGGGAGACTGAGGCAGGAGAATCACGTGAATCTGGGAAACGGAGGTTGCAATGAGCCAAGATCATGCCACCGCACTTCAGCCTGGGTGACAGAGTGAGATTCCATCTCAAAAAAAAAAAAAAAAAAAAAACCTAAAAAAACAAAAAATAACAATGGCCTCCAGCTCCATCCCACGTGGCTACAAAATACATTATTTCATCCTTTTCTAGGGCTGAGTAGTATTCCATGGTGTACATGTACCACATTTTCTTTATCCAATCCTCAATTAATGGACACTTAGATTGATCCATGACTTTGCTTTTGTGAACAGTGCTGTAAGGAGCATATGGGTGCAGGCGTCATTTTGATATGATTTATTTCCCTTTGGGTATTTACCCACAGTGGTTTTGCCGGATGGAATGGTAGTTCTGTTTTTAGCTCTTTGAGAAATCTCTATACTGTTTTCCATAAAGGTTGTACTAATTTACATTCCCATCAACAGCGTACAAGCATTCACTTTTCTCCGCATCTTTGCCAACATCTGTTGTTTTTCGTGGAATGTCTTTTCTTTAGAGTTTATCTAATTGCCTTTAACCTCCTGATATGTGAACAACAAATTCATCCCTTGTGGCAGCATTAAGACCTTTGGAGGTTTCTTGTTCTCCCTCTCTCATTCATTGAACACACCCACCACCACCACCACCACCGTACTACCATGACTACCCTATCTCTGCCATCTGATCAGCACAGGGCCCGAAGGCACATTCCCTGTACTCAGAACATTACGAAGCAACAGGATGTTGTAGGAGTTACCATCCTACCAACACTACCGCATGCTCATATCCAAGATGCTTTGGAATTCCAGCTAACAAAATAACACCAATATGGTACCCAGGTCACATAAGCACTCAAGTGTATCCAGAAAGATGACCAGTTCTTTAAAATGTGATCCCATGAAATATCTCTACCTTTTCACAATCTCAAAAGGCAAGTGACAGGTATTGCTCTAAATATCACTTTCAATAATATAATACTTGTGGCAAGGTATCCTATAATTTTAAGAGCTACTGCTATGTAATTTACATAATTACTATAATATAGTAACAGTTACATAATGCACTGTTATTTTCATTATTTTGCTCAGTGTTTTTACTTTTATCCTAAAATTGCTTTCATAAACTCAAAAAGTTGTTTCTTTTAATACTTTTTCTCTAGAGAAAAAGCAATTTTATGAAAGTATTTTGCAATAACATATTGATTAGTTATTCTATCATTTTATTTGGCAATAGTTATACCCATTCCTTAGCATAATTACTTATTTATCTCTTCAATGACCCAGGTCACCATCAGAACACATAATTACTCAAGATAAGAGGTTGGGCAAAGCAGGAATTTTGCACACTAAGAGGTAGAGCCATATCAGTTATTGAGTACGTTAATTTCTTTTGTAACTGGGTGCTGTAATAAAAGAGCTGAGGCTTGGACTTTAAAACTTGTGGTACAAATCTTGACCCAGCTGTCAACCACCTCAAGTCAAGACTATCACCTTCCCCGGCCCTTAGTGCCATTATCAAGAGAGGAACTTACAAGAAAGCATTAATACCGGTGATATTAATGTGCTAGTTGTTATCTCATGATGTGCAAAGTCTTCTCATTGGATCATGATTCCCAGTGCTGTCATGGCATTGCTTTCCTTTGACAGATTGTGATGGTTAATTTCTCATGACAACTTGGCTAGGCTAAGGGATGCCCAGATCACTGGTACAACATTATTTCTGGGTATGTCTGTGCAGATGCTTCTGGAATAGATTAGCATTTGAAACAGGTAACTGAGTAAACATTACTCTCAACCATGTAGGCAGGCATCATCCAATTTACAAGACCCTGAATAGAACAAAAAGACAAGAGGCCAGGTATAGTGGTTCACGCCTGTAATCCCAGCATTTTGGGAGGCCAAGGCAGGAGGATTGCTTGAGGCCAGGTGTTCAAGACCAGCCTGGGCAAGAGTGAGATCTTGTCTCTACAAAAAAATTAAAAATTAGTGGCCGGGCGCGGTGGCTCAAGCCTGTAATCCCAGCACTTTGGGAGGCCGAGACGGGCGGATCACGAGGTCAGGAGATCAAGACCATCCTGGCTAACACGGTGAAACCCCGTCTCTACTAAAAAATACAAAAAAACTAGCCGGGCGAGGTGGCAGGCGCCTGTAGTCCCAGCTACTCAGGAGGCTGAGGCAGGAGAATGGTGTAAACTCGGGCGGCGGAGCTTGCAGTGAGCTGAGATCCGGCCACTGCACTCCAGCTTGGGCGACAGAGCGAGACTCCGTCTCAAAAAAAAAAAAAAAAAAAATTAGTGTGGCGTGGTGGTGACATGGGATTTGTTCCCTTGACCTTGACCCCCTTCATGAGCAGGAACTGGAGTGGCTCATTTTGCTCAGCCTGCCGCTGGCCACTCCTTGCAAGAGGGAGTGTGCGAGCAAGCGAGTGTCGGAACCCGAGGGAATGAACGCTAGAACCAGGTTCTGGAGGGAGCAGGCTCTGTATGGTCCTCACAGCAGCATCCAAGGCCCCGCCCTCTTCACACCCAAGTTCTTGTCTGGCACCCAGGAAGAATCAGGTTGCATGGTCAGATTGAAGGGTAGCATATGTGGAGGATTTTACTGGGTGATGGAAGTGGCTGTCAGCAGGATGGGAATTGGAAAGGGGATGGTGTGGGAAGAAGGTGTTCTTCCCCTGAAGCCACACCATCTGAAGTTAGCCGTGTCCATCAGTCGTCTCTGATGCTCAGTCGTTTGTGTTGTTCTGCCAGTTGAAATCCTTTTATGGGCACAGGATAGGGATGTGGTAGGCCAAAAAGGCAACATTTGGGCGGAAAAACAGAGTCAGCTGTTTTCACTTAGGGGCGTAGTTCCAGGCTTAAGATGGGGGGGGAAGGGGGGTTAGCCAGGAGCCCAGCTGTTCTGTATCAGTGGTGCATACCTCTGGTCCAGCTACTCAGGGGGCTAAGGTGGGAGGATCACTTGAACCCAGAAGGTTGAGACTGCCGTGAGCTGTGATTGTACCGCTGCACTCCAGCCTGGGCAACAGAGCAAGACCTGTCTCAAAAAAAAAAAAAAAAAGAAGAGGGAATTCTCTCTCTTTCTGTTTCTCTCCTTGAGCCAGTAAGTTCACATTTTCCTGCCCTCCGACATCAAAGCTCCTGGTTCTCAGGCATGCACCCTACCCCTACGCCTACACTTTTCCATTCTTTGGCCTTTGACTTCAGACTGAATTACACCACTTGCTTTCCTGGATCTCCAGCTCCTAGACGGCAGATGGTGGGACCTCTCAGCCTCCATAATCACATGAGCCAGTTCCTACAGTAAAGCTCTTCTTATCTCTCTCTCTCTCTCCTTCTATTTCTATTTATATTTATATTTATAGAAGGAGAGAGAGAGACAGACAGACAGCGATTCTCATGCTCAGCCATCTGAGAAGCTGAGTTTACAGGTGCCTGCCACCACACCCGGTTAATTGTTGTATTTTTAGTTGAGATGAGGTTTCGCCATGTTGGCCAGGCTGGTCTCAAACTCCTGGCCTCAATAGGAGATAGATAGATGATAGATAGATTGATTGATTGATTGATTGATTGATAGATACATCCTATTGGCTCTGTTTCTCTGGAGAACCCTAATACACAGATGATGTTATCTGGACTTTTCTGCACAGGCAGCGGTGTGCTGGAGCTGTCCTCTCTCTTTGTTGGAATTGCACCTTGAGAGTAAGTGCCTCCTTAAATCGTGTGCCCTAGGTGCCTACTTTGCCTCACCCTAGTGCCAGCCCTAGTACTTTGGAGAAAGATGCACAAAAAGCCAGCAGATGCAGGAATAAGCCACTGTAATCATGTCTTGGTCTAAAGAGCTCCGGTTCCTGAAGTTCCTTCATAGAGGAGTTGGCCCTCTCCATTCCTCTGCATTGGGCTGACAGTGGACCTAGAAGTCACTGGATTTTATCTTCATGTCCCATCATTATCATCCATCTCAAGAACTTTTTCATCTTCCCAAACTGAAACTCTGTATCCATTAAGAAATAGTGCTCCAATCCCCCTGCCCTCAGCCCCTGGCAACCACCATTTTACTTTTTTGTGTGTGTGAGACGGAGTTTCACTCTTGTTGCCCAGGTTGGGCTGGAGTGCAGTGGCGCGATCTCAGCTCACTGCAACCTCCGCCTCCTGAGTTCAAGCAATTCTCCTGCCTCAGCCTCCCAAGTAGCTGGGATTACAGGCATGTGCCACCACATCTGGCTAAGTTTTGTATTTTTAGTAGAGACGGGATTTCACCATGTTGATCAGGCTGGTCTTGAACTCCTGACCTCAGGTGATCCACCCACCTTAGCCTCCCAAAGTGCTAGGATTACAGGCATGAACCACCGTGACTGGCCCCACCATTCTACTTTCTGTCTCTGTGAGTTTGACTACTCTAGGTACTGCATATCAGCGAAATCATACAGTATTTTTGGTTTTGTTAGAATATCCTCTTTTCAAAATGAATAAACCCCTGGTTAAAGATGGTGGTTTAACCCTATAGTTTATCACCACTCCCTCCCAATACCCCACTAAAATAATAGTAAAGGAGGTAACAAGTTGGAAATCTACAACGCATGGGAAGCCACCAAGAGATAAGAAATTTCAACAAAATTACTAAAATGTTAAGTAGCCAGGTGCAGTGGTTCATGCCTGTAACACCAGCACTTTGGAAGGCTGAGACAGCAGGATTATTTGAGGTCAGGAGCTCAGGACCAACACAAAAAGATCCCGTCTCTACCAAAAAAAAGATTAGCCAGGCTCATCATGTTGGTGTGTGCCTGTAGCCCCGGCTACTCTGGAGGCTGAGGCGGGAGGCTCACTTGAGATCAGAACTTGAGGCTATAGTGAGCTATGATTGCACCACTGCACTCCAGCTCAGGTGACAAAGAACAAGACCCTGTCATTAAACTTTAAAAAAAAGAAAAGAAAAAAAAGATGTAAAGTAGAGGGTGGACCCAAAGGACAAAACTATAGGACCAATACCACTTATATGAGGTTCCCAGAGGGGTCAGATTCACAACCACAGTAGGCAAAATGGTGGTTGCCAGGGGCTGGGAGAAAGGGGAATAAAGAGTTCCTGTTTAAATGGGTACATAATTTGATTTGTGTGTTTGTGGCTTTGTTTTTTGTTTTTGCTTTGTTTTTGTTTTGTTTTCAGACAGAGTCTTTCTCTGTCACCCAGGCTGGAGTGCGGTGGCATCATCTTGGCTCACCGCAACCTCTGCCTCCCAGATTCAAGTGATTCTTGGGCCTCAGCTGCCCAGGTAGCTGGGATTACAGGCGTGCACCACCGTGCCGGGCTAATTTTTGTATTTTTAGTAGAGACAGGGTTTCACCATGTTGCCCAGGCTGATCTCGAACTCCTGAGCTCAAGTGATTCACCTGCCTCAGCCTCCCAAAGTGCTGGCTGCGCCTGGCTGGGGATAGAATTTTAGTTTGGGGAGATAGAAAAGTTCTGGAGGGCCCGGCGCGGTGGCTCACGCCTGTAATCCCAGCACTTTGGGAGGCCGAGGCGGGCGGATCACAAGGTCAGGAGATCGAGACCATCCTGGCTAACACTGTGAAACCCCGTCTCTACTAAAAATGCAAAAAATTAGCCGGGCGAGGCGGCGGGCGCCTGTAGTCCCAGCTACTCGGGAGGCTGAGGCAGGAGAATGGCGTAAACCCGGGAGGCGGAGCTTGCAGTGAGCCGAGATCGCGCCACTGCACTCCAGCCTGGGCGACTAAGCGAGACTCTGTCTCAAAAAAAAAAAAAAAAAAAAAAAAAGTTCTGGAGACAGAGGGTAGTCATGGTTGTACAATAACGTGAATGTATTTAACGCCATCGAACTGTACACAGAGAAGTAGTTAAAATGGTGATGTTTACGTTATGTGCATTTCATCACACGCTCACAAAAATAAAGGGTAGCAGTAATGGACGAAGCGAAGCAGAGGCTGACAGGGACTGGAATGGCCACGGAGGGGAGGTGGAGAGGAGAATAGCAGCCAAGCAGGGAGCAACCCATACCTTGCGACCTCCAAGTGGCTCAAGCCCCATAAATTCCCGGTAGAGCAAAGGATAGAAGTAAGACATGGAGTGGAATCTTCCTACACCCTGACCCTCACGCATATGACACAGCGCATTTTGGGAGGCCGAGGCAGGTGGATCACTTGAGGTCAGGAGTTTGAGGCCAGCCTGGCCAACATGGTGAAACCCTGTCTCTATTAAAAATAACAAAAATTGGCCGGGCGCGGTGGCTCAAGCCTGTAATCCCAGCACTTTGGGAGGCCGAGACGGGCGGATCACGAGGTCAGGAGATCGCGACCATCCTGGCTAATACGGTGAAACCCCATCTCTACTAAAAATACAAAAAACTAGCCGGGCGAGGTGGCGGGCGCCTGTGGTCCCAGCTACTCGGGAGGCTGAGGCAGGAGAATGGCGGGAACCCGGGAGGCGGAGCTTGCAGTGAGCTGAGGTCCGGCCACTGCACTCCAGCCCGGGCGACAGCGCGAGACTCCGTCTTAAAAAAAAAAAAAAAAAAATACAAAAATTAGCCAGGCGTGATGGTGCACACCTGTAATCCCAGCTACTCGGGAGGCTGAGGCAAGAGAACTGCTTGAACTAGGAAGGTGGAGGTTGCAGTGAGCCTAAATCTCGCCACTACACTCCAGCCTGGGCAACAAAGCAATACTCTATCTTAAAAAAAAAAATCGAATGTCTTAAAACACCCACAATCTGTCATTTAGAGGTTCACCAATGTCTAGAGAATGGCTTCCTTCCTGATCACCCTAAGTGAAGGCCTCCAGTGAGTAAGTCCACTAAAAATACAAAGGCCCTCAACAAATGATTTATGACATCGTTCTCATATACATTCCAATATGGTGACTTTGATGAAAGTCTCCAACATGCAAGACTCACTCTAAGATAAGCAAGCAAAAAGCAGGACCAGGAGGCAGGCACATCTCCATGCTATGGAACTGTCAGCACAGCCGAGCCCATGCTTAGTCAGAACCAGTAGCACATGTGCATAATGGGCCCACCCTATCATGCACACAGCCTGGACAGCAGGCCTGCGTGGAGCAAACAGAGGTAACTCAGGAATAGAAAATAACTTTAAAATTTCTCTATGTACTTGGCCCGTGAGCTAAATCTGCATTTATCATAGCTGGAAATCAATAGACAACGTCCAAAATGGATGAAACAAGAACTGGTGATAATGGGATACTATTCAGCCATTAAAAAAAAAGAAATTGCATCTTTTCACCTGTATCCCCAGCACTTTGGGAGGCCAAGACGGGAGGATCACTTGAGGCCAGGAGTTTGAGACCAGCCTAGACAACAGAGGGAGACCACTGTCTCTAAAAAAAGAAAAAGACATCATGTCTTTTGCAGCAACATGGATGGAACTGGAGGCCATTATTCTAAATGAAACAACTCAGAAACAGAAAGAAAAATACTCCATGTTCTCACTTATAAGTGGGAGCCAAATAATGTATACACAAGGACATTAAGTGTGGACTGATAGACACTGGAGACTAGAAAAGGTGGGAGGCTGGGAGGAGTGTAGATGATGAGAAATGAACAGGTACAGGTTGGGCGCAGTGGCTCATGCCTGTAATCCCAGCACTTTGAGAGGCCTAGTTGGGTGGCTCTCTTGAGCCCAGGAGTTCAAGACCAGCCTGGGCAATAGGACAAAACCCTGTTTCCACAAAAAATACAAAAATTAGCTGAGTATGGTGGTGCATGCCTGTAGTCCCAGCTACTTAGGAGGCTGAGGTGGGAGGATCGCTTGAGTCCAGGAATGCCAGGCTACAGTGAGCAGAGATCGTGCCGCTGCACTCTTGCCTGGGCCACAGAGTAACAGCCTGTCTCAAAAAATAATAATAAAAATAAAAAATAACAGGTGCAATGTACTTTATTCAGATGATGGATGCGCTAAAAGCCCTGACTTCACCATTACTCAATAGATCCATGTAA